TTTTTTTTTTTTGGTTTTGAGACAGGGTTTCTCTGTAGCTTTGAAGCCTGTCCTGGGACTAGCTCTTGTAGACCAGGCTGGCTTCCAACTCACTGAGATCCACCTGCCTCTGTCTCCCTAGTGCTGGGATTAAAGGCATACGCCACCACCACCAGGCTAACCTTGACCTTCAGATGGAGCAGTTCATCTACAAAAGGAAAACTGATGGTATCTACACCATAAATCTGGAGAGGACCTGGGAGAAGCTGTTGCTGGCAGCTTGGGCTCTTGTTGCCATTGAGATCCCTGCTGATGTCAGCATTATCTCCTCCAGGGACATTGGCCAGCGAGCCATGCTGAAGTTTGCTGCCACTGCTGGAGCTACTCAAATTGCTGACCACTTTACATCATGGGTCTTCAGTAACCAAATCCAAGCAGCCTCCAGGAAATCACTAGAAGTCACTACATCTAGTGGTGACTGATTCCAGGACTGACCTCCCGGCCAGCCCCTCACAGAGGCATCTTACACCCACCTGCCTACCACTGACTCTGGAGTGCAGACTCGCCTCTGTAGTATGTGGACATTGCCAGCCCATGCAACAACGAGGGTACTCACTCGGTGGGTCTGAAGCGGATGCTGGCCCCGGAAGTACTTGGCATGAGTGAGCACCCATGGGATGTTATGACTGACCCAGAGGAGACTGAGGAGGAGGATCAGGCTGCTGCTGAGAAGACTGGGACAAAGGAGGAATTTTAGGGCTCCTGAGGTCACTGTTGCTCAACCAGAGGTGACAGCCTGTTCTGAGGGTATGCAGGTGCCCTCTGTACCCAGCCAACAGTTTCCCACTGAAGACTTGAGTGCCCAGCCAGCCTGAGGATTGGTCAGCAGCTCCCACAGTGCAGGCCACCGATGGATTGGAGTCACCAATGAGTGATCCCGAGCTGCTCTGCAGACACCTGCGCAAAGAAAGGAAAAGGTGAAAGGAAAATAAAGTTCCTAAAGCTGAAAATATTTTTTTTTTGCAGGGGCTGGAGAGATAGATGAGCGATTAAGAGGACCCGGGTTCAGTTCCCAGCACCCACATGGTGGCTCACGGCCAGTTACAACTACAGTTCCATGGGATTGGTCCCCTTCTTCTGACTTGCGTGGATACCAGGCATGCATGTGGTGTACACAGAGACACGTAACATACACGTAAAATAAACAAACCTAAAAATATATTTTCAGCACTCAAAAGGCAGAGCCAGGTGGATCTCTGTGAATTTGAGACCAACATAGTTGACTTAGCAAGCTCCAACCAAGTCAGCAAGACTTGAGCTTCCGGCCCTCTATCAGTATTTAAATATTGCTGAGGGCTGGAGAGATGGCTCAGAGGTTAGGAGCACTGGCTGCTCTTCCAGAGGTCCTGAGTTCAATTCCCAGCAACCACATGGTGGCTCACAACCATCTGTAATGAGATCTGGTGCCCTCTTCTGGCCTGCAGACATACATGGAGGCTGAACACTGTGTACATAATAAAAAAAGAAATCTTTAAAAAAAAATATTACTGACCTGACTGTTAAGTTGTGGGATATCAGCAGGCTCAAGCATTTTACCTCTTCTGGGCAGAGACTGCTGTGTCAGGTTAGGGGAACAGCTGCCCTATTTACTGTAGTCATCTGGTGATTAGCGTGGCTTTATAAAATGCATGTCAGTGCCAAGTTGACAAAGGGTATATCTTAGTCACTGGTCTATTGCTGTAAAGAGACAGCATGACCTTGACAACTATTACCAGAGAAAGCATTTAATTGGTGCTTTAGTCCACAATCATCACAGGGGAAGAGCAGAGTGCAGGCTGCAGGAGTGGCAGGCATGGTGCTGGAGAAGTAGCTGAGAGTTACATTTTGATCCACAGGCAGGGGCTGAAGTGGGGCTGGGCCTATAAGGGCTTTTGAAAGCTCAAAGTCCACCCCAGTGATACACTTTCTCCAACAACGCCATGCTCCTAATCTCTCTCAAGTAGTACCAGTCTCTGATGACTAAGCAAATATATGAGCCTATGGGGGGGCACTCTTTTTGCTTTATTTATTATGTATACAGGTTTTTTCCTGGATGTATGCCTTCTGGCCAGAAGAGGGCACCAGATCTCATTACTGATGGTTGTGAGCCACTATGTAGTTGCTGGGAATTGAACTCAGGACCTCTGGAAGAGCAGTCAGTGCTCTTAACCTCTGAGCCATCTCATCTGGGTTTTGAGAGAGGGTTTCTCTGTGTAGCTCTGGCTGTCCTGGAACTTGCTCTGTAGATCAGGCTAGTCTTGAATTTACAGAGATCCTCCTGCCTCTGCCTCCCAAATGCTGGAATTAAAGGACTGTACCACCAAGCCTGGCTAGGGGACTATTCTTATTCAAACCACCACAGGTGAGCTTTGCTGGATAATTCTATGTGTTGGGCTGACTGTGATGTGAGGTGCCCCAGTTGAACATTTTTCTGGGTGTGTCAGATGAAGTGACACACTTCACTGAGTGCTGGACTGAACAATACAGAAGGCCCTCCTTCCCTCTTGTGAACAGGCTTCATCCAACCCACTGGGGGTCTAAATAGAACAAGAGGCAGAGGAAGGGGGATTTCCTCTTTGTCCCACAACTGAACTTCTATAATTGTCCTCCTGGTTGCTATAGGTCCCCCGTTTTCAGGTGACTTATTACGGGACCTCTCAGCTTCCATAACAATATGTGTTAGTTCCTTTAAATAAATCACATATTGGTTTCTTGGAAGAAGCCTTAGTAATACACCCAAATAATTTTACTTATGCCCCTAACACTAATGTAAGTACATGAAGCAGTGGACACAAGTCTGAGAGGAAACTTTGTAAAAGGCAAAAGATTTGCACTTGCTGCTCTTTCAGAGAACCCACATTCAGGTCCCAGTACCCATGCCTGGCAGCTCACAACTGCCTGTAACTCCCGCTCCAGGGGACATGATGCCTTCTTCTAGTCTCCATGGGCACCTGCACACGCGTGGCATTTAATACATACACATCCATTTTAAAATTAATTTTTAAAAAGCGTAATAATGAAGAGAAACATGAGTGGAACAATCCTTTTTTAGATTTATTTATATTTATTATGTATACAACATTCTGCCTCCATATATGCCCACACACCAGAAGAGGGCGCCAGATCTCAGCACAGATGGCTGTGAGCCACCATGTGGTTGCTGAGAATTGAACTCAGGTCCTCTGGAAGAGCAGCCAGTGCTCTTAACCACTGAGCCATAGGAACAATCTTATAAATATTCACTTATAACTCAGGTATACACCCTGGAATTCCAGCACTCAGAAAGCTGAGGCAGAGTCAATCACTCCGCAGTTAAGCCCATCTTGGGCCACTACATAAAAAAATTCTCTAAAAAAGAACAACAGGAAAAGGTCATTCCTAGCCAATGACTATTGCTGAGTGATTCAGATGATGGGGTGGGGGCTTCCTATTGTATACAGACTGACCATTAAGTACAGAGCAGAATACATACGCTCTGTGTGTACTTGCAGAGTAAGGTGCCCTTTACAAGACAAGCAAAGGCAAGCCACTTGCGGTAACCCAGACTGCATGCCTAGACATGCTCACAAACACACAGCAAAGTATCTAACAGATGAAACACCTGGAGGTGCCTCTGCCCATGGTCATTTTGCGGATGGCACAGGGATGGCCTGTGTGGTCCATACAGTAATAACAGGTGGCATTCACGTGCATCTTTAGTTTTCAGTGCTGGCAATCAAACCCACACACAGCCTGGTACTGTCAAGGCCTGAGTCACTAAGTCACATCCTCAACCCTTTTTTTGAGGCAGGGTTTCACTATGGAATTCACTCTGTGGCCCAGGCTGATCTGGAAACCACAATTTTCCTGCCTTGGCCCCCTGAAGAGCTGTCCCGCCAGCCTGGTTCTACAAGACACTTTCTCTACTGTGCTGGGAACTAACCTTAGAACCACTAAGCTGCATCTCCAACCCTCTTTTCACCTTTTATTTTGATAACTTGCCCTGGTTGGCCTGAAACTTAAAAAACACACATTTTTATTTTAGGTGTATGCATGTTTTGCTAGTGTGTATGTTGGTGAGTTACTTGTATGCCTGGTATCTGAGGAGACCAGGTTAGACCTGGTTAGGGTGTATCTAGAAGCAAAAATCTCAAATTCACCTATCCCTGGTCCAGATAGATAACCCAGTAGAGAGAAGGGAGCTTGACTTAGAGTGGGGCAAACAGTAGAGGGGGAGGGGACTGAGAGTGGGTAGGAACTAGGTATAGTCAGACCCTGCTTCAAAAAAAAAAAAAAAAAAACACCTTGCCTCTGGGTAGAGAGATGCATCAGCAGTTAAGAGAACCTGCTGCTCTTCTAGGGAGGCCAGGTTCGATTCCCAGTACTCGCGTAGCAACTCAGGCCTGTCGGTAACTCCCATTCTCCCATTCCAGGGGATCCAACGCCCTTTTCTGGTCTCTGTGAACAGGAAGCAGGCAGGTGGTGCAGACATACAATCGGGCAAAACACCCATATCCCTTATAGAGAAATCTTAGCTCAGAAACAGATCCACAATAAATGAGAATGGTCATATTCTCTAACTCAGACATTGGAATGCTTCCCACCCTGGTCCCAGACTCCAAGATCAAAGCTTTCTCACGTGGTCATGCTAGTCTCCGGACGGACACTCGGGATGGGTGGCTTTCTGTGAGCTGCTGGATTCGACACATCTGGAAGCTGGCCGAGAAGGAGCATTAGAGGCAGCCTGACGAGCAAAGAAGGCCCTCATCTCAAGAGGAAGCCTTTATATTTGTGCTGTTACTTTCAAGGCCTTCGGGGTTGGTTTAGCTTTTGCAGTGCCTGGAATGGAACCCAGGGACTCTTCAGAAGCACACTGTCCCCCCACTGAGCTACACCCTGAGTTTTAAATTAGAGTCTTGATGCTTTGCACCTCCTGCCTCTGTCCCCACCCAATGTCCTCAGCCAGCACCTCCCATTCCTGCCCCTTGATCTCCAGGCACAGAGCCAGCCCCAGCCCCAACCTACCTGCCAGGTAGCACTGTCTGCTCTCCAGTCAGGATGTCAGGTCCAACGTCCGAGACTCAGGTGAGTGTGGGGGCCCTGGAGGCTTTGGGCATGGGTGTTGGCGAGGCTTGGGGTACCCAACCTGGGTCTGCTGACTTGCTTCTCTTCTCAGGAACACTTTTGTGGTCTTCCCATCCTTTCACCAGCTTCCCTGGGCCTCCTCTCTCAAAGATCATCAGAGGGCAGCAGAGGCCCAGCTTAGGCCCATGGAGTCCAGTCATGTGTGGCATACTTGAGCGAGCCTAGGCTGAGGGCTGGCTGCTCTCTAGGGGTTGTTCAACTGGGGGTCAGTTCAGTCTCAGACTTGTGGAGATAGCCCAAGCTGTCCTCCAGGGAATGCTCTGGGGCTGTCCTGATAGAGCAAGAGAAGGCCCCGGAAACCTTGACCTTGAAGCCTGTCAGAAGTTCCTGAGAGCCAGAAGGAAACCTTGAAGAGGACAGACCAAAGGAGGGAAGGTGTGGTGTTCAGGGAATTGACTACTAAGTCGGCCACCACCACCACAGTTGCTACTGAAGCGGTGCTGAGTGGGAGCCAGGCATAGACTGGAAAAGAAGAAACTAAAAGTCAGTTACCAAAGCGCCCAAGTCAAGAAGCTGGGAAACACAGCTTTTCTTAAACCATAAAAAACACAGGAGGAGGGAAAAAGATAAGAGCAGAGCTAGGGAAAGAGAAAGCAAACATTCAATAAAGATCGGCAATGTCCAAGGCTGGTTCTTCAAACAGATTCAGAAAATACTAGTAATTTCTGTTTACACCCTAGAAATTAGAAGAAAAACATAAATTAGTGATATCAGGAACAAAACAGGGCGCTCATACAAATTCTACAGACATTTTAAAAGGGTGAATAAGAGCCGGGCCGTGGTGGCGCACGCCTTTAATCCCAGCACTCGGGAGGCAGAGGCAGGCGGATCTCTGTGAGTTCGAGACCAGCCTGGTCTACAAGAGCTAGTTCCAGGACAGGCTCCAAAACCACAGAGAAACCCTGTCTCGAAAAACCAAAAAAAATAATAATAATAATAAAAGGGTGAATAAGACATTTTGGATTTTTTTTTTTAAAAAATCACGTGTATGTTAGTACATACCCACGGAGGCCAGAAGAGGGCACCAAATCCCCTGACTTGGGGTTCCAAGCATTTGTGAGCTCTTTGGGAGAGCAGTAAGCGCTCAAGCCAAGTCACTGCTCAGATCCCAAGTAGGATTGAAAAAAATAAAACAAAATATACGGCTTTCTCTTCAGTGGGGCCTAAGTGGCAGCAATTTACTTCTTTGGTTAGTTGGTTGGTTTTGAGTTTTGTTTTTTTTGGGGGGGGCGGGGGGAGGGTCCAGACAGGGTTTCTCTGTGTAGTAGCTCTGGCTGTCCTGGAACTCGCTCTGTAGACCAGGCTGGCCTCTAACTCACAGAGATCCTCCTGCCTCTGCCTCCCAAGTGCTGGGATTAAAGGCATGCGCCACCACCCAGCTGGTTTGGGTTTTTGAGACAGTTTCAGAACTGACTCTGTAAACACACACATTCCCAGAAACTTTTCTTTAAAAAAAATAATAATAACTTGTTTTTGTGTATGCATGTTTTGCTTGTATGTATTCATGTGTACTATGTGTGTGAGTGACTGGGGAGGCCAGAAAGGGTGTTAGAGCCCTTGCTACTAAGTTACAGACAGTAGCTACTAAGTTAGTGCCACCCTGTGGGAGCTGGAAACCAACCAGGTCCAGTAAATACCCTTAACTTTGCTGGGCCATTTCTCTAGCCCCCTCTTTCTGTGATTTTGTTTCATTTTTGAGACGTGGTCTCTGGGCAGTCCCTAGTTGACCTTTAATCTGTGACTTCAGCCTCAGCTTCCCAAGGGCTGAGGTTACAGGTGTATAGCAGCACCCTGGGCTTCAGACACCTTTAGTTCATCTCAGACACTCCTTTTTGTGGGGGCCAAAAGAAGACATCAGAGTCCCTGGAACCACAGACACAGCTGCCAGCCACCATGTGGGTGCTGGGAATCGAACCCAAGTCCTTCGCAAGAGCAGCCAGTGTTCTTAACCACTGAATCATCTCTGCAATCCTACCCACCCCAGGTTCCTCCTTGCCATGCCCCCAACAATTAGAGCTGCAGTTCAGGAAGGGAGGAAGCGAGGGGAAATTGGCTACTGGAGGCTTTGATGGCCTGGTCTGAATCTTGTAACATCTTCAAAAAGAAATTCCAACTTGGGGAAAACAAGGGCATGTTTGTGTCAATTTCAACTTCCCTAGTCTTCACCTTTGCCCTTCTAGTAGGAAACAAAGAAGAAAACAGGGAAGCGGTGACATGTGGCGTCTTGTATGACTCCATACAGGAGCAATGGACTTTACAGAGATTTTCTGCAGGAGTTTTCTCTTGAAATGCGGGCGGGCGAGAGGGATCACAGTGTTTGGGGAGGTGATGGGAAACGAGTAGAAGAAAACAAGAACTGTCTCGTGGCATTTTGGCTTTATCTGAGTTTGGGTGGGTTTTTTATTTGTTTTTGGTTTTTTTTTTTACATTTTAGTTACAGAGGAACAGCAGCCAGACCCCTTCCCCGGGTCTTATCCATAGACTTGACCATGTTGTGATGACCGTAAGGAGCATTGAAGACACTATCACGTTCTATTCCAAGATCCTGGGCATGGAGGTCACTACCTTCAAGGTAATTGTGTCCCCATATTTAAAACTTCAAGTCTGTTAAAATGTGTGTATGTGTGTGTATGCACCCGTGCATATGCAGGTGAAGTGTGTGTGTGTGTGTGTGTCCGTCCTGTGCAGGTACAGGTTAGGCCGGAGGTCTAACTTAGCTAGACCAGATGGCTACCAACCCCAGGGAGACTGCTGTTTCGGCCTCCTGAGATAATGGGTGTGTACTGCCCCCCCTGGCTTTTTTTTAAAACATAGATGCTGAGGATCCAAACTCGGGTGCTAAGGCTTGTGTAGCAAGCATTTTGCTGAGTCATCTCCCTAGCTTCCTCCATTAAAATTGTTAACATTTTTTTATAATTAATTTTGTGCACATTGTTGTGATGGTGTCAGACCACCAGGAACTGAGATACAGACGGTTGTGAGGGGCCATGTGGGTGCTAGGAATGTTTCCTCTGGACTGGCAGCCAGTGCTCTTAACCGCTGAGCCATTTCTCCAGCCCCAAAATTTGCTAACATTTTACGGCAGGCGATGAAGCTCAGTTAGTAGAACACCTTATACACACAAAAGCCTTGGGTCAGTCCCCAGTACCACATAAACCAAGTATGGTTCTGCACATAGTAATCCTAGCTGGAGAGACTGAAGAGGTGGATGCAGGAGAATGAAATCTAAGATCATCCTTGGCTACTAAGCAAGTGTGGGACCAGCCTAGGATACATGAAATGCTGTCTTTTTTTTTTTTTTTTTTTGAGACACAGTTTCTCCAGGTAGCCCTGGCTGTCCTGGTGAGATACTATCTTAAAATAACTGATAATACTTTAAACGTAGCTTACGGCTGAGGGTACAGCTCTGTGATCATTTGCCTAGCATGCATTAAACCCAGATAGCAATCCTAAGCCCTGCCAAAGAAATTTTTTTAAAGATAAAACATAGCTTAAGTCCAAACCCCTAAACACAGGGAAAAATGAGAACTATGAGAGAAAAGGTAAGAGATTGCAAACTACGAGCAGGGAGATATTTGGAAAGAGGGTAAAGAAATGGAAGGGGGAAACTTTGAAAGACATAAAGCAAGAGGCTTTGTTAGTTCGAGGTCCCTGGTCTCAAAAAAAAAAAGTGCAAAAGAACTTTGCAACCTTTATATACAAAGAGTTAACTGTGTGCCCAGCCCAGGGACACTCAGATATGCGCTGTGGGAATTACAGAACATCCCTCTGAAAAAGTCCATCTTAAGACTTTGCCAAGAGATTAAAAAGTAGTTCATCTACAAAAGAAAAAGAAACATGCAAATGTCAGAATTCTTGAGTCACACCAGAGGCCAGAAAACAATAGGACTATACTCTTAAGACTCTGGGAAAAGCACTCCCACCCCGCCTCCCGTTCTGCCTCAGCATCTCTCCATGTGGTCCCTACTCCCAGAACAAAAGCTGTTCCCAGCCTTAATCAGAGAAGCCTCTCCCTACAAAGAAAGGCGATGAATACAGACACTCAGGCTGCCTAAGATGCAGAGAATAGCAAGGGTTTTGGACCCAGCCCTACACAAGATATTCCAGCCACCCCATCTCAGGCTCAGGAACATTGTGAAAAAGGGGATAGCAAATATGTAAGAGCCAGGAGATAGGGTGAAGGGCTATGGAATTCCATTCTATAGACTCTATACAATTAGTGCAATTATTAACTCACAACTGTAGTTACCTGGGCCCATACAAGACTGACCCTATCAACAGGAAGTAGAGGAAGGGGGAGGGATTCGTGGGGCCCTACCTGCTACCTCTGAACTATTGGCTACTGATAGACTCTGGGGGGAAGGGACCATTGTCTTTAATTGTGTACCCACTGCTGAGCCCACCAGGCTCCAAATGGATAGCTCTAAAGCCATGATTATAGAGACACCCTGGTTAATCTCAGTGGGGCGCTAAACAAAGCGGTCATGAAAGTGCAGGAGCGATTTGTAAAGAGGAGGAGGGACTGAAGGGGTGGCAGGGAGGTAGGGGGGAGAGTGGTTGGTATGCATTGTGAAATGGAAATTGTCTAAACACAAATGTAATTAATTGAAAAATGATTCTGGGGGGAAAAATGCAACCTGAAAGTCTGTGTCCAGCTGAACGGCAAATCAAAGGTCAGTGTAGAACAAAGCATTGTTAGCACAAAGACCTGAGGGGCTGGAGGTGCAGCTCAGTTAACAGAGGACTTACCCAGCATGCAAGAGTCTAGGTGTCACTCCCAGCACTGCAATACACAAAGAAAATGAGTCATTAAGGGCTGACAAGATGGCTCAGTGGATAAAAATATCTGTTGCCAAGTCTGAGGTCCTGAGTTAGGTTTCTGGAACTCACATGTCTGCATGGAGAAAGGAGAAAACCAATTCTGAAGAACTGACTTTTGACCTCCACATACATGCCCCCCCACTCTCTCTCTCTCTCTCTCTCACACACACACACACACACACAGAGAGAGAGAGAGAGAGAGAGAGAGAGAGAGAGAGAGAGAGAGAGAGAGAGAGAGAGAGAAACATACACATACAATCTAGCTATCCATCATTTTTACAGTAAAAGCAGTGGGGAGCAATGGAGAAAGATACCGGATGTCTTCCTCTGCCCCCTACCTTCCCAAAGATAAATTCAGCTAGCTCGGAAAAATAAATACATGGAAGTTGAGATGGAGTTGGTTCTCAAGAAGAAAACCCCATATATCTGGAAAAAAGTCAAGTAAGCTTGGATTAAGGAAAAGAGTTCCAGGGAAGAGATGTAAGGGAAAGGAGGTTTCCACAGATTTAACACTATCTTGAGAATATGGAACAACTTCAAAATTATAAAGGCAGAGAAAGAAAGAAAAACCTTATGAAGATGTCCTGCAACAGACGAAGAGATATGTCTGCTATGCCCAGATCAGGGGTTACAGCGTTAACGAGAAATAAGGCCTTGAGCAGGTTCTCACTGGTGTAGTCTATCGTCTATTGTCACTCCTGATAGTGTACATGCCCTGTTCTGTTGTTTGTTTTTGCTTTTTTTTTTTTTTTTTTTTTTGAGACAGGGCTTCTCTGTGTAGCCCTGGCTATTTTATAAGTCGCTTTGTAGACCAGGCTGGCCTCGAACTCACAGAGAGTGCTGGGATTAAAGGTGTGTGCCACCACTGCCCAGCTTTGTTGTTTTGTTTTAAATCAAATATTTTTTACACTACTTCTTGTAGGGACAGGAGAGAGAGGGGGGCAGAGAGAGAGATGGGGGAGGAGAGAGAGAGAGAGAGAGAGAGAGAGAGAGAGAGAGAGAGAGAGAGAGTGAGTGTCAAGCTATAAGAAGCCTGGAAAATCTTAGGTATATCACTAAGTGAAAAGAAGCCAATCTAAAAAAGGTGAGTATTGCAGCATTCAATATAATGTTCAAGCAAAGACAAAACGATGAAGACAAAATGACAGGTGGGTGCCGGGCATTAAAGGGTGAGAGGGCTGAACAGAGCATGAGGAATTTTAGGACCTTGACACTGTCCAAGCCCACAGAGTGATAGGAGTGCCCTGGGAAAGGAACAGTGGGTTGATTGATGATCTGTCGAATGGAGTTACAGGAATGGCAACGCTTGTGTCCCACTGCTGGGATGCTGACAGCGGTGCAATAGTACCCCAGTCCCAGGGATGAAGAAAGAGCATGAAATCGTCCAAGAAATAGCAAGTGCTGAACTTTGTGGAAATCTAGGCGTGTGGGAAATCTTTGTGCCTTCTTCACAGTTTTGCTGTGAACGTTAAACTTCTCTAAAAATTAGTATAAAAACTTAAAAAGGTCATGAAGTGGCAGATTGTAAATTTCCTAAAAATTTAAAAAGTTTATTTTATGTGCATTGGTGTGAGAGTGTTGGATCCTCAGACCATAAAAAATTTAAATCTTTTTTTTTTTTTTTTTTTTTTTTTTTTGATTTTCGAGACAGGGTTTCTCTGTAGCTTTTTGGTTCCTGTCCTGGAACTAGCTCTTGTAGACCAGGCTGGCCTCGAACTCACAAAGATCCGCCTGCCTCTGCCTCCTGAGTGCTGGGATTAAAGGCGTGCGCCACCACCGCCCGGCAACATAAAAAATTTAAATCGAAAGGGGACACCATGCAGAAAAGAGTATTATGCCAAAGCAGGTTGGATGTTCTTCAGGTCCTAAAAAAAGAACATGGAGTAAAAAATTGAAAACAAACAAAAAACTACAGCATAATGCCACTTAAAATGCCAATAGCAACAACAGATCTTTTACAACCAAGAAGATGCACGCAAAACACATTATGGTTTGGGGCATACACTATTAAAGTCTGTTTTATTGCATAAAGAGCAAATAGAGGCAGCTTATTTGAATAAAGACCCAACCAATGATTCAATGAGAAAAAATATCATGGTATCTAAGGTGGGGATAGGAATAGAGAGGATAGAAAAAAGGAGAAAAATGCATCAATAAAACAAGATTGGCTTTGCATGGATCAGTGATAAATATAATGCCTCCATTGCCCATACTTAGACATGCTGAAGTGAACTGTCAGAGCATCTAAGGTCGAGAAAAACTTGTAAGCTTTCAGGATGAAAGGTGGCTGGCTGTATTACCAACTGAAGAGTACAAACCAAGGGACTGGGGAAGACAGCTCAGCAGCTAAGAGCACTTGCCGAATAGCCATGAGGACTGAGTTCAAATCCCCAGCACATGCGTCAAAAGTCCAGCATGTGTGGACATGTTTATAATCCCAGGGCTGTGAAGCATGTGTGTGGAGTCAGGAGAAATGCTGGGGCTTGCTGAGTGCCAGACTAGCTTGAAGTTCAGAGGCTGCCTTCAGGAAATAAGTAGAGTGTGATAGCACAGACCAGCTGACCACCTTTGGCCCCTGTACACGTTTACACATACACCACACACATACACACTCACATGTGAATGCACACACACACATCTTTGGCCCCTGTACATACATGTATATACATATACCACACACACACACACACACACACACACACTAAAACTGTAACATATAAAATAAAAAGGATGAAGACAATTAACATCATTTTCATTTATTTAGTATTTATTTGGAGGTAGAGGGAGATTGAGACCTGATTTCTTCTTCTTCTTTTTTTTTTTTTTTTTTTTGATTTTTCGAGACAGGGTTTCTCCATAGTTTTTGGTTCTTGTCCTGGAACTAGCTCTTGTAGACCAGGCCGGCCTCAAATTCACAGAGATCCTCCTGCCTCTGCCTCCCCGAGTGCTGGGATTAAAGGCGTGCTCCACCACTGCCTGGTGAGACCTGATTTCACTATGTAGCTCTGGCTGTCCTGGAACTTACTCTGTTCACAGAGATCTACCTGCCTCTGCCTTCCAAGAGCTGGTATTAAAGGTGTGCCACCCCACACCTGGTTAAAAAAAAAGAGTTCTTGGAAAAGAAGACACTTCTGCACTGCTGGTAGGAATGCAAGCTGGTAGAACCCCTTTGGATGTCAGTGTGGCAATTTCTCAGAAAATTAGGAAACAACCTTCCTCAAGATCCAGCAATACCACTGTTGGGTATATATCCAAAGAATGCTCAATTGTGCCACAAGGACATGTGCTCAACTATGTTCATAGCAGTTCTGTTTGCCATAACCAGAGCCTGGAAACAACCTAAATGTCCCTTGATTGAAGAATGGATAAAAAAAATGTGGTACATTTACATAATGGAGTACCACACATCAGAAAAAAATAACGACATCTTGAATTTTGCAGGAAAATGGATGGAGCTAGAAAACATTATTTTGAGTGAGGTAACCCAGACTCAGAAAGACAATTATCACATGTACTCACTCATAGGTGGTTTTTAAACATAAAGCAAAGAAAACCAGCCTACAAATCACAATTCCAGAGAACTTAGACAACAGTGCAGACACTAAGAGAGACTTACATAGATCTAATCTACATGGGAAGTAGAAAGTAGAAAAAGACAAGATCTCCTGAGTAAATTGGGAGCATGGGGACCTTGGGAGAGGGTTGAAGGGGAGGGGAGCAGAGAAAGATGTAGTGCTCAATAAATATCAATAAAAAATACCAAAAAAGTTCTTGTTTATGAGTGTTTTGCACATTGTGTGCACTGCCCACAGAGGTCAGAAACAGTCGTTGGATCCCCTATAACTGGAGTTATAGATGGTTGTGAGCCACCATGTGGAAGCTGGGAACTGAACCCAGGTCCTCTGCTAGAGTAGCAAGTACTGTTAGCCAGTGAGTATCTCTGCAGTCCCCAATATCAGCAACACCAGATCTAGGGAAGATAATCAGCAATGCATTTATCTTTCTTTCTTTTTAGTCTTTTAAAACAGAATTTCTCTGTGTAACATCTCTGGCTGTCCTGGAACTCACTCTGTAGACCAGGCTGGCTTTGAACTAACTCACAGAGATCTGCCTGCCTCTGCCTCCTGAGTGCTGGGATTAAAGGCGGTCTTAACAGTCTAGAAAATGGAATCTGGGGTATCATGCCTGCTAGGTGAGTGCTGCATCACAGGGAACCCCCCAGTCTGGGAGCAGATATGTAAAAGGCTTTGAGCAAACAGCTTTTACAGAACTGTACACTGGGCCAAACTGTCCTTTGCTGTAGGAGTGCAATGGAGTCTCAATTGCGGGGATGAAGAAAGAGATCATGAAATCATAACAGAAATGGCAAGTGCTAAGGGGTATAAAGAAGGAAGAGACAGGAGATGACAAGGTGACAGTGGTTATTTATAAAAAGTAAGCATTATTCCCTAGCATCTGAAAAAATATATACGGAATCAGCTATTTATTTTTGGTTTTTTGAGACAGGGTTTCTCTGTGAAGCCCTGGCTGTCCTGGAACTCACTCTGTAGACCAGGCTGGCCTTGAACTCACAGAGATCCGCCTGTTTCTGCCTCCCGAGTGTTGCAGTTGAAGGGGTGCGCCACCACCGCCTGGCTGGAATCAGTTGTTTAAACCAAAGCCAGCAGAGGAACTAAAATTACGATAGATGATTACTGGGGGAAGTAATACTATTGAGCTAAACTTTCCTTGGCAGTGAGAGGACAAAATACACAAAGGTGATAAATCAAGAAACAGGTAGTGGCTACAGTGATGGCTCAGCAATTAAGAGCACTGCTGCTCTTGCAGAGGATCTGGGCTCAGTTTTTAGCACCCACATGGCAGCTCACAATCATAAATAACTCCATTTCCAGGGAACCCAACATCTTCTGATCTCCATGGGTACGAAGCATGCATGTGGTACGCATATATACATGTAGACAAAACACCTACACATATAAAAAATATATCTTTAAAAAAAGAATATGCATCAATTATGGACTGTTTGGAGGGGCAAAGGAGAGAACTACCATGGACTAAATGAGACAGTTGTCTTTTTCTCTCAATTGAACAAGCAGTCAGATGAAAGTGTCATTAGGAGGAAATGAATAGGCACAAAGCACTGGCTCAGTGGGCAGGGAGATTCCTAGAAACCCCACCAGCAACCACTCCCTGCTGAGCACATCTCAGAAGGTCTCCCTCACACAATGGCCTCTTAGCCAGGAATGCGGGGAACAGAAGTGAGGTTTGTTTGCTTGGTTCCTTTTGATTTTGTTTTGTTTTTGAGCAAGGGAGCACAAGGTTAAATCAGACTTTATCCTCCTGACTAGAGGTCCTAAATGCTGGGATTATAAGTATGTCACCACTCCTGACTTAAGATGGACTTGTTTTTAGAAAGCTTGGGAACAAACCAATGACCGTACAGAAATTTGAGTTGTTCTTATAAGGAAAAATAATAAAAGGGTGGGGAAGATATGCAGTAGATTGAAGCAGGATTACTTTGTTTCAGGCTAATCTAGACAACATAATAAGATCCCAAAGAAAGGAAAGAGATACAAAGACAGAGAGACAGGAAGGGAGGAAGGGAGGAAGGGAGGGAGGGGGAGAGAGAGAGAGAGAGAGAGAGAGAGAGAGAGAGAGAGAGAGAGAGAGGAGGGAGAGGGAGGGAGGAGGAAGAAACCCTAGGTAGACAAAATGCTATCTCTGCCATGGATTTTTTTTTCCCAAGACACAGTTTATCTGTAACCCTGGCTGTCCTGGAACTCACTCTGTAGACCTAGCTGGCCTTGAACTCACAGAGATTCGCCTGTCTCTGCCTCCCTGAGTGCTGTGATTAAAGGCCACCACTGCCCAGCCCATGCGTGGGTTTTAAACACTTGGCGAAATGGACATTCTAACAAGAAACACACAAGGCTGCCCACCCATGGAGCACTCACTAAGAGCAGATGCCTGAAACAAACGCGGTGAGGCACACTTGCAAGACCAACATCAGGAGCATAAGGCAGGAAAATAATGAATTTTGAGAGTGTGAGGCCAGGCTACATAGTAAGATGCTGTCTCAGGAAAAGAAAAAGAATAAGAAAAAGAAAAAGAAGTTGGGAGTTCTGGTATAGCAGTTAAGAGAGCTTGCTATTCCTCTAGTGGACCCAGATTCCAGCTACAGCTCTCACACTGGGAACACACACCTGCCTGTCACTCCAGTTCCAGGAGGTACTTGACATCTTCTGGCCTTTGTGAGTGCTGCACACACGTGTACACACATACACTTAGACATATGCACACATTCAACAAATAAATAAATCTTAAAAACAAAAAAAAACATAAAAAGAAAAGCTGGCCATAATGGTGATGTAAGCACATGGAGTTGGGGGCAAGAGGATCAGGAGTGGCCAGGCAGTGGTGGCACATACCTTTAATCCCAGTACTTGGGAGGCAGAGGCTGGTGGATCTCTGAGAGGCCAGCCTGGTCTACAGAGTGAGTTTCAAGATAGCTAGGGCTACACAGAAAAACCCTGTATCGAAAAGCTAAAAAGAAAAAAAAAAAAAGGAGGATAAGGAGTTTAAAGCCAGCCCTTGATTCATAGTGGGTTCAAGACCAGCCTGGACCACAGGAGATTTTTGTCCCTGAAGAAAATGGTGGTGAACGTGGTGTGTGGTAAGGAGGTTAAATGTAAGGCACTCACCAGCAAGCCTGACTACTTGAACTAGTTTGATCCTTGGAACCAGCATTGTGGAAGGAGAGAATGGGTCCTAAAAGTTGCCCTCTGGCTTCAGCACACAGCATCCACCTCCACACAAATAAGTGTGCAAACTTATTTGTTGACAACTGGGCACTGTTGTCAACAAGTACACTTTGAGACTTCTGTGTAGTCCTAGATGACCTGGGACTTGCTCTGTAGACCAGGCTGGCTCGCAATTCATAGAGATCTGCCAGTTTCTGCCTTCAAAGTGCTGGGATTAAAGGTATGTCCCACTGTGAGTTCGAGACCAGCCTGGTCTACAAGAGCTAGTTCCAGGACAGGCTCCAAAACCACAGAGAAACCCTGTCTCAAAAAACCAAAATAATAATAATAATAATAATAATAATAATAAAGGTATGTCCCACCACACCTAGCCAAAAAAAAAAATTTAAGAAAAATTTAAACACTGTTGGGCTGGAGAGATGGCTTGGAGATTAAAAGCACTGGCTGCTCAATCTCAAAGATTGGATGGTTCAGGTCCTAGGACTCAAATAACAAGCCAGGCATTTCACAAATACCTTGAACTCCAGCCCTGAGGAATCAGAACCTTCTTTTGGCCTCTGCGTGTGCACACAGGCATGCACAGACACTAATTTGCAGTATGCTAGATGGATCAAGGGTCATTGTGTAGCAGCCCTTTCTCCTTATTTTTTGCAGTAAGTTCAAACTCATCTTGGCAGCTCAGTTCTACACTGTTTTCTCGCTCCTAAACAGGGAGACCGGAAGGCATTGTGTTTTGGAGATCAAAAATTTAACTTACATGAGGTGGGAAAGGAATTTGAACCCAAAGCAGCTCACCCAATTCCGGGCTCCCTGGATCTTTGTCTGATCACAGAAGCACCTTTGGAGGAGGTGATCCGACGCCTCAAGGTAAGTGCAATGCCATTCGCATAAACCAAGTCCAACCTTAACAAAAAGAGGAACAGGAGGGGATTTGGGATGGGGGGGAATCGGGGACTGGGAGGGGAGGATGGAGGTAGATACTGCCAAGACAAAATTGTGACCCAAAGAGATAAGTCTTTCTCAAACCTCAGACACAAGAGATCCCATCGCATCCATGTCCTGCCTGTGCAGTTATCTACTTGCTCCTTTGATTGATGTCAATGTCACAGAACCAAAATTAATTAGAAGGAGATACTACAACTCAATGAACATTCATACACTTAGAATAAGCATTCAGAACTGTGGAGCTTTATATTACATTTTACATACAGGTCAGTATTGAATATAGTTTATACACTTACCCACCAAACAAAATTCAATATAGAATTAGAAGCAGAAAAACAACTGGGTCTGGTTAATTTTGGTGTTTGAAGTTTTGTTTATTTGCAAGACTTTTTTTTCAGAGACAGGGTTTCTCTGTAGCTTTTTGGTTCCTGTCCTGGAACTAGCTCTTGTAGCCCAGGCTGGCCTCGAACTCATAGAGATCCACCTGTCTCTGCCTTTCGAGGATTAAGGGCGTGCACCAGCACTGCCTGGCTTGCAAGACTTTTAATATAGTAAATTATATAAAATTTAAAGAAGAATATGTGTAAATAATGTTCTGACATACTCAGTCTTTTGTCATGTCAAGTTTAAGTAAGAAAAGCTACATTAAAATTTGATCAGAGCCAGGTTATGGTGGCACACACCTTTAATCCCAGCACTTAGGAGGCCAAGGCAGGTGGATTTCTGTGAGTTCGAGGCCAGCCTGGCTTACAGAGCAACTTCCAGGACAGCCAGGGCTGTAACACAGAGAAACCCTGTCTCGAAAAACCAAACCAAACCAAACAAACAAACATTTTATCTTGTCATAAAGAGAAAGCAATTAAAACCAACAGTAACCGGTCTGGGAACATAGCTTGGTGGTAGAATGCTTGCTGGTCCCACAGGAAGCTGTGGGTTCAATTTCCAGCGCTGTTTAGAAAAAAAAAAAACCAATGAATACAGACTTTCATTCAGGTACTGCACTTAAATTCTTGCTTACTGATACTACTGTCACCCCCAATTTATGAATTGAGGAAATTGAGGTTCAAGGCAATTACATAGTCTGCCCAAGGCCATATATCTTGAGTAGAATGAGGGAGGGAAAATGCCAGTAGATGGGGTCAGAAACCAGGCATTCTGGACACTATTAGGAATTAAACTCTGGCTATGGTTGTAGCGTGTGTAAGTTCAACCCCTAGAGCGCTGGGGCAGGGAAGGAAGAAGACGGGATTCTTAAGGAATTCCTTAAGTTTTGGTCTCACGTATCTGTGACACATGACTTTGGTCTTTTCTGCACACTCTATTCAGGCTTTCGATATCCCCATTGAGGAGGGCCCAGTCCCCAGAACAGGAGCAAAAGGGCCAATTATGTCCATCTACTTCCGCGATCCTGACAGAAATCTCATTGAGGTGTCCAACTATGTCACCTCATGATTGACACCGACCTTCCTTCATTCTGTTCCACAAGATGTCATCTTATCCCTCATTTCCTGCAAATCCCAGAGACCTCCAAGAACTGAGAAGGTTGGCACATCACCGATCCTGCAAAGGAGACCTAAGACAGGTTTATGTCCAAACTTTTGTGTATAGAGCGCCTCCACCTAAAGCTACTCCAATAAATGATTACTCTCTCCACATAAGTGCGTCATTCTCGGTCCTGCATCTGGAGGCTTGTCTAGGGCATGAGTTCTCTGAGGTTTTTGGAGGGCTGGGCTAGAGTTTGGTGTCCTTCTGAGATTCAAGGCCCATGACAGATTTCTGCTTGTCAGTGATCCATCATCCCTCTCCCAGCTTTTTAATCCATCCCATTTCTCTAGCTGCTTCCTGGTGTTTCCTTCACCCCATGAGCCTCATTGAGCTTCAGGATCTCTACAGTTCCTATCAGGCTACCCAGAGTCACAGCAAACAATGCCACCTCCTTCTGGAGGGCTTTCTCTCTTTAGATCTTTTTGTTTGTTTGTTTGTTTTTGTTTTTTGAGACAGGGTTTCTCTGTGTAGCTTTGGTGCCTGTCCTGGAACTCACTCTTGTAGACCAGGCTGGCCTCGAACTCACAGAAATCCGCCTGCTTCTGCCTCCCAAGTGCTGGGAAAAAAAGGTGTGTTGCCACCACTGCCCAGATCTCTTCAAATCTTAATTGAAGTTCAGTTCCCAAAATAGAATAAAGTCAACTAGCCCCCTTCCTTCCCTCCTTCCCTTCCTCTCCCTCTCTCTTTCTTCCCACTCTTTCTTTATGTTTCCTTCTTTTTCTTCTAGACAGGGATATTTAAGTCAGATTGGCTTCAAACTCAAGGCAATCCTCCTGTCTTTGCCTCATTATGTGTGTGAGTCACAACCACAGCTGGCAAGTTTCTTCTGCTTCTGTCCCTTCCATCATTGCTATGCCATTCTCTCATTTGTTGACTGAAAAGCATTATCTTAAACACATATTGTGTGCTAGGCCCTGTTTCAGGCATTGGAGAGGCAGTGTTGAACAACAGATAAGCTTATCTAGCCAGGCATGGTGGTACTGTTCTAAGCCAAGCACTTGGAAGGTAGAAGTAGGAACATAATATGTTCTAAGCCAGTCTGATCTACATAGCAAGTTCCAGGCCAGCTAGGGCTACATAATGAGATCTTGCCTCAAAACAAAACAAAATCTTATTTTTATATATGGAGCTGGTACTCAAGTAAATGCTAGAGAATGAATAAGATTAGAACAGGGGCAAGTAATAAAGCTGCTTCCACTGAGTTTGGCATAACCATCGCCATTATAAAGCAGAAAAGTTATGGTAAACTACAGGAGATCTTGCCCAATGAAGTAAACAGAATTATACAACAAATAACTAGTCTTGCTGGGTGGTGGTGGTGCATGCCTTTAATCTCAGCACTCAGGAGGAAGAGGCAGGTGGATCTCTGTGAGTTCGAGGCCAGCCTGGTCTACAGAGCTAGTTCCAGGACAGCCAGGACTGTTTCACAGAGAAACCCTGTCTCAAAAAACAAAACAAAAAAACCCAACAAAACAAAACCACTAGATCTGCAGTAATATTCCCTCTTGGGGGAGAGATGGGGGAGAGGAAGGGCTAGAGTTGTTCGTAAGACCCTTCCCTGGGACTCCAGTTTCTGCTCTCTCCCTCCTGCCCCAGCTACAAGTACTCCCAGAAATGCTGATGCACTGAGAGGTGAAAATTGATGGCGCAGTGGGACATTTTAGTGGTGTAGTTGTTCCTAAGTCATCCGCACTCTTAGAAGGACTTGCTAAAACCTATTTAGTCACCAAGCTGGACTTGACGATCTGTCTTTGATCTGTCAGCTCCTTCCCTATTTGGGGTAAAAAGGCATTTCTTTCACATCTATCCAGAAATGTCACAAAATGTGACCAAACAGAACAGGAACATTGACTGAAGCAGAAATGAGCGGAGAGTCCACAAAGAGTCTTGGATGACCATCTTCCTCCCTGGCCAATGTGGCCTATCACATAAATGCGATGATGACCTGGATTCAGCTGGTGAATAAAGAACATACTGCAGCCCCTGAGAACAACACAGACGGGCCAGGAGTGTGAGAAAGCTGTGGTGGAAGCTGCATAATTCCCACTATAGGTGGCAAGACATGCAACTGAGGCTGAGCTGTCTTCCTGAAGGAAACGGGCCTCAAGAAAGGGATATGTGGATGCCATCCTGCACGTTAGTCTCTAATTGGGGAGAAAAGGTGGAAATAATAATGAAATAGGGGTGTTATCTTGCAATTTCTTTTTTCTGTTTTGTTTTGTTTTCTTTTTCGAGACAAGGTTTCTCTGTAGCTTTGGAGCCTGTCCTGGAACTAGCTCTTGTAGACCAGGCTGGCCACAAACTCACAGAGATCCGCCTGCCTCTGCCTCCCGAGTGCTGGGATTAGAGGAGTGCACCACCACTGCCCAGCAATTTTGAAATTCCGCCCCCCCTTTTTAAAAAGATGTTATTTATTTATTATGTATACAGTACTCTGCCTGCATGTATGCCTGCAGACCTGGAGAGGGTACCAGATCTCGTTACAAATGGCTGTGAGCCACCATGTGGTTGCTGGGAACTGAACTCAGGACCTCTGGAAGAGCAACCAGTGCTCTTAACCTCTGTGCCATCCCTCCAGCCCTCTTGCAATTTTCTTACAGCTGGCAAGGTGTTAGGCAAGAGTGTGAAGTAGAGGGGCTGGAGAGATGGCTCAGTGGTTAAGAGCACTGACTGCTCTTCCAGAGGACCCGGGTTCAATTCCCAGCACCCACATGGCAGCTCACAACTGTCTGAAGATCAGTTCCAGGGGATCTGACACTTCACACCAATGCACATAAAATAAAGTTAAATAAACCATAAAAATATTTAAATAAAAAAAAAGAGTGTGAAGTAGAATATGCATCGAAAATCCCCTCCTGGGCTGGAAAAATGGCTCAGGAGGTACAAGCACTCACCACACAAGTCTACCAACCTAAGGCCAGAGCCTCAGGACACATGTAAAAGTAGGGCACTGTAGAAAATCTGTTTGGAATCCCTGTGTGTCCCTACGTGGGGGGGGGGGGGGGGGGGGAGAACGGGACAGAGAAATCTCCAGACCTTCAACTTCACCTGGCCAATAATGGTGAAGACATGCCATCTCAAATAAGGTAGGAAAGTGAGGACCAACGCCCGAAGGTTGTTCTTCTGACCTTCATACATGCAGTGACATGCATACCCCCCCATGAACAATCACTAACACGCATTAACATGCGCTCACACATATACACACATGCACACACACGGGGGTTAAAAAACACTTGCCATTCAAGTTTGACTACCTAATTTCCATCTACAGAATTCACAGTGGAACCAGAGAACTGACTCCCAAAAGTTGTTATACACACACACACACACATACACACAAATTTAAAAAAAAAATCTTGAAACTCATGAGGGCCTGGGCTGTGTAGAGGAAAAAAGTGAGGTTCAAGTAATAAAAGATACCCTTCAGGTCTGACCTTCAAGAAAGAAGAAGGGAAATTCCTGATTCAGTGTGCACACGGAGGCCTTAGGAAAGATTTTTGTTTTGTTGCTCTGGCTGGCTCTGGCAACCAGTTCCTGACTGGCTCACTTGAGTCATTAGGGCCATTTGCTAATTACTTGCTGGAGTTCCCATGAACATTAGGGACTGGAAGACAATGAGGATAGACATTACTGAAAGGACTGGGAATAAAAGAAGTGGGGTTTGATGCCCAGTTCGCTGACAGATAAGAAGTCATTTCTTTGGGGACCTTGGGAAAGAATGGGTGTTAACAGCTTTGCTGAGCCTCGGGGCTTCCAATCTTTGTGAGGTAGCAGAGGCTGGTAGGTGAGAATCATTTAGACTAGCATGCAAATTGGGATCAGAAAGTGCTGAAGCAATTGGGGGGGGGGATGCGGAGAAGAAAGCAGACAAGAGGGCCTGTCTGGGTCTGTCTGGCAAGATCTGTGTTGAGCTGGAGTTCTGAGGGGGAAAAATCTGATCAAACGCCAGGGCTGTGTTTGTGAATCTCTCTAAGGCTCTGAAAGGGAAGAGCAGCTCATCAAAGCAGTGAACAGTAGTAGGGGTACAGGTGATCCCCACTGTATCCTTTCCAGTGGAGAAAGGACAGAGCATGTGCTATCAAACTCGCGGATCACAACTTATGCCCTAAATCAGGTCTTGCTACCTGTCCTCAATAAGTCAATTAGAAGAGCCAAATTAAAGTGATTTGAAGGCAGATAAAAAGATTTATTCAATGTGGAAAGAGGGATAAAGAGAACCAGGAACCCCCACATCTATCTTTGGGGTCCTTTTCCCAGCATGAGATTTCAGAAAAATTCTCCTTTCTCTTTCTCTTCTCTCTCTCTTTCTCTCTCTCCTCTCTCTCGATTTATTTACTTATTCATTATTTGATTTTTTTTGTTTTGTTTTTTGAGACAGGGTTTCTCTGTGGCTTTGGAGCCTGTCCTGGAACTAGCTCTTGTAGACCAGGCTAGCCTCGAACTCACAGAGATCCGCCTGCCTCTGCTTCCCGAGTGCTTCCCAAGTGCTGGGATTAAAGGCATGTGCCACCACCACCCGGCTCTTTTTTGGTTTTTCAAGACTTGGTTTCTCTGTAACAGCCCTGGCTATCCTGGAACTCACTCTGTAGACCAGGCTGACCTCGAACTCAAGAGATTCACTTGCCCCTGCCTCCTGAGTGCTGAGGTTGAAGGTGTGTACCAACAGTGTCTGGCACAGCCTAAATATCTTTCAACTGACTAATGGATAATAAAAATGTGGTACGTATAAACTATTAATACTATTCAGCTATAAACAAAATGAAATAAAGACCTTGCAGATAAATGTATGAAACCAGAAAAGATCACAATGAGTGACGTGACCCAGGTCCAGAAAGACAAACACTGCGGGTTTTCTCCCATCTGTGGTTCCCGCCTCCCTGTCTTCAGATGTGCACTTATAACCTGGATTAAGTACAGAAACAAGGAAGTAAAGGGGAAGTATGGGGGTCAGGGGAGCAATAGAGAGAGGAGTAACAGAGTACAGTGATCTAAATGGAGAAATGAACAGGACAGAACAATGACAAAATGACAACACCAATAGACAACTTAACATGGAAAGGTGAAGTCCCCAATTGATTATCCTAAATATATCCTATTTAAT